AAACATTCTTTTTTGCAAATGGAGATCAAAATATGTGCAGAAAAGGCTTTTAATGGTTGGAGTCTGTCTTTAACGAAATCTCAACACTGTCACATACTAAGACTAAGGAATAATAACCTTAATTCTAACTTATTTATTAAAAGGCATTTCAACGAGGTTTCAAAAATTTGAAATTCATACATAGGTCACCTGAGGCACTTTAAACATGAAGATATGCAAAAGATAAGTAGAAAATATACTCCGAAATAAATTGAAAATTGTATTTATGTACATGTTCTATCATAAGACTGATTCGAGTAAAAAGCGTTACAACTTTGGGTCATTCTTCACATTCGAATAATTATTCTGAAAAAAAAATGGAGTGAGCGAATGATCTGAAGTTTTGTACACAAGTTAATGGTCTAGACCTTCAGCAAATTAAACAACAATTTCAAAACTCATTTCCAGTCCCGTCATGTCAAAAACCTCAGTAGAATCACTTTAAGGTTACTTATAGTTTTCAAACGCAAACGTTCCCAATATTCGAAATACTAACTAATTATTTAATACAATGTAGATAGATTAACCAATATGCATATAAATTATCAACTTAACATTTTATTTTGTTACTGGTCAGCTATGGTTTAATTGATGGATTCCAAAGTTTAAAAATAATGTCCAGAAATGAAAACGATATCTTAGACAACGAAACGAACAGAAACTTCATATAGAAATCAGTTTACTTAAGACATTTCCCCCATTAGTTGATTACACCAAAAATGATATAGGAGACATGGACGGGGTGCTTACAATTCAGATGGATTTTAGACCATGAAAATATCTTGTTTTAAATCAATAGCACGCAGTCAGTTTGATGTTGTATTGATTTTCAGAAATTTGATCTTCATATGTAAAGAATCCTTTAATGGGACTGCTCCGTCATTCTCTATATGATTATTTATTTCTTTAGCAAGCCCAGCGAGGGTTATATTACAGCGTTATTTGCTTTCCGATCACGTTTCGTTGGCATAAAAGCGCCATCTATATTTATGTAGCTCTTTAGTAAAACCGTTACCCAAGCATATGTACATTATTATTTTAAATATGATCCATTCATTACACTTGACACCGTATTGAAAAAGCCAGAAACCATAAAGTGTTGTCAGTTGAAGGGCTATATCAGGTTCGACTTGACCCGGACTTTCCCAATAAGGAACCGAGTACGAAGCTCTTAACACTTTAAACCAGTCATCAATTACACATATCATTTGATAATCTGTATTTTGTTTAATCCATTACTGGACCTTCCCTAATGAAAAGAAAAATGTACTTTTCATTTATAAATTTTTGGAGACACCTTTTAGCTGGTTATACGGTCGGTCAATAAATAAACTTTAAATCCCTATCGGATTACAGAAACTAATTTTACCAATTGTTTTTTTAACATTAAAATGGATTTAAATGCATAAAAAACCCGGATCCTTTAAATCGTCATGATACCCTTATATGACTTGTATTTTGTGAAAACAGATGACGAAAAGCGATATTAAATGTCAGAATGTAGGCCGAAAATGGTACAATATACTAAACGTCAGTAAGGACATCTAATTGAACCGAAATGGGCTGGTTCAGTTAGATACAGAAAAGGGGAAAATACCTTCTCTTTACATATCAGTAAGTATGAAAACAGTAGGGCCTCTGACTTCGGACATGTGATCGGGAGTGCGAGTCTTGGACAAAGCACATGTGTGTATTGATAGATTAACGAATATACCCGCGGTATATCAAATGACATTCGTCCTGTCCCTAAATCTATGGAGGGCGTTCGTTGCCAAAATTCCAGACATGTAAAGTGTTCCTTTTTAAAATGACTTTTGAAAATGCGAACTTGTATGCCTACCATTTTTATTGTATGCCTCTTAATTCAATCTTTTAATTGAAGGTTACCGCCTTTATATAACAAGTTTACATATATATCGTAACAACTGACCTAACATCTAAAACGACAACAAATTTACAAGTTCGTATCTTCCATTGCATGCAATACATACGCATGTTTGCACACTTATAGATCTGTAATATACAAATGAAATGTAAAACTCGAATACGGAAAATAGAGTTTAAGAAAACGTGTTACCAGTTGTAGAACTACAAGAGTACGTTAACACAGTAACATGTTTAAAATGACAAAAGTAGATTCACAAAGTTAAACGATTTTAAGTCAAGCATAACGCCCCGCCCCTCTCGGAGTATTTACGACCTTCTATTGCGGACAGGTATAAAACGGCGCCTCTCCCATATTTTTAAATAAAACTGAAGGACAACATACGGCATTTTTCATAACAAATATATGTTGTATTTGTTACAAAAGTTTTGTCATTAGCAACATCACTTGAAAATTGCTGATTTTACCATTTATGATGAAGATAACTTGTGCATTACCTTATTATTTAACATCGTGTTCTTATCAGTTACAAATTATTTATCATTTTTGACATTTTAGTGATTAGCCTGTCCGTGCTATGCCTAGTGCCCTGTCCTATGTTTTGTTTGGGGTCCGCCTGAGCTTCTTGCCACTTGTTCTTGTTGCTGGGTCATGTACTAATAAGTAGGGTTGCGTTCATTGAGCGCCGCCTTTCCTTGTTGATCTTGTTTATCATATATTCCTGAGAAACATCGGCGATTTGGAAATTTTTAGGGGAAACAATGACCAACTTCAAGGGAGTAATTTTATTGATAATGTAAAAACATCCAATATTCTTATTGGTATCATTGCAAAATATTTGCAAAAATAGGATTTTAAAGCGGCCACCGAGATTTCCTTTCCGAAATCAAGAAAATACTTATCCGTAGCACATATGTACAATCTTTAATACGGTATTTTCAGTATGAATAAAAACTTTTTGCACTTGTTCATTATCCCTCATGTACAGACTCAATCAAACCGAGTCTGCAATTCTTATGTAATTTTGTAGTGATTAATGCTTCCGAGGGATCATTTTGTTTCCAGATTTTAATACTTCACAACAGCAGGTGCCAAGTGCCGTGTGGCAGTTGTAAAAAGTTGCCCCGTACTTCACTTCAGTGTTTTTCTGGTCCTTCGGGATCATTGATGCCAGCGCTATTAAGTGTTGAGAATTGAGTACCGTTCAAGCCGGTGCTAGGGGGCGTGTCACTTACTTGTCACATTGAAGGTTCCATGATAATCGTCACTTGTTCATTATCCCTCATGTGCAGACTCAATCAAACCGAATCTGCAATTCTTATGTAATTTTCCGCCGCCTTTCCTTGATGATCTTGTTTATTATCAAAATTGACCAAGAAATAAAAAAAGTAAGTAGGGGGCGCCATGTTTTTTTCTTACTGAATTTCAGAGTGTGTTTTTTTTTACTTGGGGATCATATGCCGTTTTTCATGGTATGGCACTTACGAGTCACATTGAAGGTTCCATGATAATCGCCATATTAACACATCTGCGGATGTTTCAAAATTGTACCAGTTCATGTTGAATTTTGCTTAAGCCGGTGCTAGAGGGCGTGGACGATAACTTGCTCTTTCCATTACCATCCATGAGCAGGCTCAATCAAACCGGGCCTGCAACATTCTCAATTTTGTCGTTTTGAGCGTTCTTTATGGATTCTTATTTTCTTTATTTTACAAAAAGTAACATGATAAACTTTTTAACGAAAGTTAATTCAGTTTGATTTAATTCATTTTTATTTTTAGGCATTATATAGTTATATATCATAAATCGTATGAAGCACACTTTTATTTCAATCCAAAATTATCAAAATATATTACGAACTTAAAAAAAGTTTGGAGGGAACGCCGTGTTTTTCTTACCAATTCGAGAGTGTTATTTTCAGAGTAAAAAAACCTAAAAATTCCATACATCTATTTAATTCATTTTTATTTCCGAGGCACTCATAGAAAGCTTATGGAGTAATCTTTCATTTGATACCAATAATATTGGACTTTTTATAGAAATAAAAAAGTTAGAATGGACGCCGTGTTTTCCTTCACTTTATTGAGAAATAGGAGTGAGGCGACGGGTATTATACCTGTCCGTACATTTCCGTGATAGAAGATCGCAAATACTCAGAGAGAGGCGGGGCGTCATGCATGACTTAAAATCGTCTAACTTTGTTAATCTACTTTTGTTATTTTGAACATGTAACTGTGTAAACGTACTGTTGCAGTTCTACGACTGGAACACGTTTTATTAAATTATATTTTCTGCATTCGAGTTTTACATTTCATTTGTGTTTTTCAGGTACAGATATATATCTACAAGTGTGTAAACATGCTTATGTATTATATGCAATGGTAGATACGAACTTGTAAATGTGTTGTTGTTCTCCATGTTAGGTCAGTTGTTAAGATTTACATGTAAACGTGTTATTTAAAAGCGGGTGCCTTCAATTAAAAGATTGGATTAAGAGGCATATCATTTGCTGTGCACGAATGCAATAAAAAATGCTAGACATACATGTTCGCATTTTCAAAAGTAGTTTTCAAAAGGAACACATTACATGTCTGGAATTTTGGCAACGATCGCCCTCCATATAAATCAACTACAAATTGATACATCATTTTATTCTTGATCTAACAAATAAATTATTTTCAGCCCAAATTTTATTCATATGAAAAATTTAAAATAAATACTGTTTTTCTTTTCTTTTTTGTTCATTGGGTAAAAACGGTTATCTCTCTTGAATCATCAACTAAGGTTATAAAAAATGTTTTTAAAATCAAAAACGATTAAGAAAAAAAGTTGTTCGCGTTCAAATATGCGAATGTTAAAATATCACATTTTCTAATTAACAATATTCATATACATTATCAAATTGAGCGGGTTTTTATATTGGAATTCGGCTGTTGTCGAAGTATTCCGAATTTTATTATCTTTACGTAATGTGACTATGATAATGTAATTGTTCAAAAAGGCCACACAATCGCTACCAAGGCCACTGAATACAGCTGTGATAATGGTGGAATCATTACCAAGCGTGCTGTAAAACCTCAGCGCACCTCCCTCGCTTATTTTATATACGGCTGAACGGAACGCGAACCGGCCCGCGTTATTTCTACTCCGCCAGTATTATTATGTGGTATCATGTTGCAGACGGATCAAGTTTCCCCAGTCAATACGGAGTAGAGTGTTATTCGCCGATCTTCTAGTATTAGATGCGGAAAAGGCTCTATAGCAAAGCAGACGGTAGGCAAAAGTTTTTATTGTCTGAAAAAAAAGTTTTTAGTTAAGAAAAATAAATGGATAAAAGTGAGAATTCAGCGGATGGTGATGAGGTTACGAAGGAATCGGTCTCAATAAAACATGAACCGGAAGGAGATACTATTAAGGTTAGAGAAGTTTGTTTACATAAGTTTCATGAACTCCGTATACTTTAATTAGACCGGTCAACGTAAGAATATATACTTGTAGAATATATCTTTATTTGATACATATGATACATGTACATAATTAAAAGAATACGAACGTGATTTTTGTAACGTGAGTAGAAAGTTTTAGTTTATACTAACAATATTGTACCTATTATGTAAATTTTGATATTTTATTATACAATGTCTTTTGTTTACATATAATTTGCTGGTGTAAATACTTTTTTGTCATCAGATTATAGATATTTATAAAATATCTGGCCTGATATCGTAAACCATGTAAATTAAATTTGTATATTTGTATCGTTAGTGTACACAACTGTAGTGATATTTTTTTTATTGTAGAAGTATAATTTATTACCTACGCCTACTTATAAAAATCAAAATAAAAAATCACAAAGGCACAGAAATTGAATTTTAAAGTCATTCATAAATTTCTAACAAAACTTATTAATTTATGGATATACATATATCAGAATCTCTAAACATCACGAATCGGTGGGTACATAATGTTTTTAGAAGTAAAATATTTTTCATGTTAATTGTAAATAAATTAAAAAACCTTATATTATATAAGACGTCTGTAATGTAGTCATTATTTGTTTGATATCAAAATGCCAATGTACAGATATCATGTTTCGCATATCAAATTTCTAGATAGCAAACTTTAATGAATTTTAAATAACGCTCTATACAATTAAAAACGAAATAACAAGCTTGAATTTAACCCAAGATCACAATTTATTCATTATTTTCAATTTATAAGAATTTTATTCCAGACATGCACACTTTGAGCCACGCCATATGCCTAGCGTTTGACATTAAATATTGCAACCCGATTCCTTCTCAAATAATATTCTTTTGACGCATATCCCGCGCGCTATCACGTTACATTCGAGCGTTTTTTAGATTTCCATATTTTTATATCATAACTGATGAGAAAAGCTATCAAGCAAAATGGGTTCTTATTACGCACCAGTTAAGGTAACCGCGTATTGCAATGTTATACTAATATTCCATTTAAAACGATCTATCATTACCACAGATGAGCCGTTGGTATTAAGCTGCGGTTTCAATTTTCGAGTGCGTTTTACGTGCGAAAGGGGTGTAAAAAAGATGTTGAAAAAAGATACTGTTTGGTTCGGTTTTTATGCAACCATTTATAGATTGTATGAATTCGGCAAACACCGTCTCTTTCCGTATCTAGTATGTCGAGGTGATAAATATCTGTTCTTTTTCATTCAATATTAAGAAACACGAAGAGTGGCGAACTATACCGAATATTCATGATGGGTGTATAACCTTAAATCGTGTGTCGTATACAAGGATAAAGCATTGTTGTACCCTGAATTTATAAGCAGAATCTGAGACATGATATAACAATATTATATTATGTTGCAGGTGGAATGCTACAGTATCTATATATGTTGAAAAGTGAGAAAATTGATGTAATTTAAAGCCATTTGCATTTATCTTTAGGGGAGCTAACTGTGATATAGACGATTCATTTTAAACATGTTTATTGGATATATTCACATATTTATACAATACATTTTGGGATTGGGCAAAAAGCTATGAAACTTATGATTGATTTCAAGGTTGTAACCACATATTTATGAAAATATTCTTATGTACGCAAGACAGAATTATTTAATCTTTACATTGCTACATCATGAGTTACTTCCCTCAGCAGTGTATATCTACATAGTTGGTCAAAAATATTTGAGAGGTAAACATTTATTTATATGCCCCTTGTACCGTTTAATAATTTTGTCTAAGAAACTTTAATTTATTAGAGAACAACAAACTACAAGATTATGTTAATCTATAAGATGCAAACATAGAAAAATTCCGTCTTTACTTTAGCTCATGTTCCTCAAAGACCGGATATACCTTTATATAAAAACAACAAAAATATTATCAAAGGGAGTAAATTCATAAAACCATTTTTAAAGAACATTATCATAATACTTTTACCGAGCAAAAAAAGGAAACCCCGTTCACGTGATGTAAAATCTTTAAATCTCTATCTCGTATTTTCATGATGTATATGGGATGGGTGTAGTTCATGATAGGGTTTATTTTTGGAGGAAATCTGATATTTCCGTGAGTTTCTTAGAAGTTTCGTGCATGGTATAGATAATTAGTACCAGCATTTATCATGTACAACCAATTAATACCAGCTACCTATGCTTTAACCAATGAAATTTGATATTTCTTACACCGAGCAAAGTGTTAGCAACTCTAGCAGATGTTATAAGCACCCTGCTAGCATGGAATGCTGCTCCTGATATCTATCTTTTAAAAAAAAACGTAGATCAAACGTTGTCTTGCTGTTTTTGGTCTACTGTTTGCTATTAAAAATAAAAAGAAAATCATCAATAGCTAAATATATGGATGGCTTTATCTTAGTATTTCAGTAACAGCTAAATTGTTCAGCTATTTTAGATCAAGTCGTTTGGTATTATTTCATCTATTTCTACAATTTTATATGAAAATTGAGAACTCAGTTCTAAAATGCATGTATCTATTACTATTGGCAATTGAAGAAGCATCTTTTGCTTTTTTTTAAATTCCGAAATGACATTATCCTATATATTAATATTTCGGCCAAACTTTGAGAAAGTTAAATGTCATATAGTCCATTCCATATTCCCTCGTGATGCTGCACGGGAACTTTGAATTGTTATATTTGGTTCCTATAGTCTAGAACTGAAATAAATCATCGTCATGAAGGGGACCCAGTCTGTTATTAGAAATACGTAAAGGTTTACAAACAAATTTATTTAAAAATAACTTAAGCGTTTTTTTAAAGTTATTATTATTGAAATACAATGTATTGTTAACAAAAAATTGTATAATACACATATCCCATGTCCCGTATCTTGTATTCATCGTGTATCTGGTTGCGTTTTTCTTTAAGTAACATGGTTGGCGCCAGAAGACTTTACTATCACGTGATATCGTTGAATTAATACACATAAGACGGACATTCTATATGGTCAACATCGCTTCATTATCGATGTCAATATCTTTATTGTAACATAATAGCTCGGGTTTATCATTTGCACGAGTAACTTGATATGTTTACTTACTGACTAATGGAATGTAGGGTGACACCTCACGCAACATATGTTCCTCGTTTGAGGTCAAACATTGATATGATTGGCCGTATAAAAACAATGGGTGAAGCATTATACTAGATTTGTTTTACTTCCTTTCCTTTAACTTATTTAATCTTAAAATTTTAAAGTTGGTAAAGTATATCTACTCGTATATGACCTTGAATATCAACTAGTCTAAAAGAGTATTACATATAATAGGAATAAAAGTATAACAGATGAATTTAGGCCACAAACAACACGTCCAATAGTTGGAAATTTATCATTTTACTCAAATAAGTATAAAATAGATGCAACCAAAGAAACATTATTTTGTTTTAAAATGTAGTTGATTTTATGATCTAATGATGATAATAAAACAATTTAACGTTATAAAGATTTTCCGATCGTATGTCCGCACATGTGTTCGCGCGTTTGTCCGAATATTAAACTGTTCGAAAATGATATATGATCGAACTTTATTTGTAAATGCATGCCATGATCATGATTAGAATATTCTTGATGAAATTCACATGTCGCACGCGCGTATATCTTTAACAAAGGAAACACACCTGATTTTGGCAACCAGTTCACGAGCTATCTTCTTCCTACACACATCTGTTAGTTCTTTGGAGTAGGTAATTTTCATGTGAGATGCCGAAATAAACGTTCAGAAAGCGTGTAATGTTCGGTGTACCTGTGAAATATGATACTTGATTCTCTATATTCACATTCACGATTCTTCGCATACTTGATTCACATGGTTTATAGTATCACACAGGTAAAATCTTGGCGTCAGGTTTATTAACACACATATTCCCCCAGCGGTCGGTGCCATCCGACTCAAAATATCGGATGCAGTCTTTGATTGTATATAAACAATAAAATTCTTTGCCTCAAGTGCCAGCAACGTGTATCCGTTACCTGAACGCTTAATTACTTTTAAAAGAGGTTTTTAAAATAGTTCTCAAAGCATTATGTAGGTAAGAAGTATTTAATGTAATCTACTTTATCAGATATGAGCTGTAAGATGATAGCGATTTTCTTCGTGCAAAAATTAGATCAATAGATAATGGTGTTCTTAATCAAAGAACGACAACTGTTCTTGAAGTCTATAAAAAAAGAGTTATTGTTCTTCTGCCAAACAAAAAAATCGAGAAGGGTTTATTTGTGTTACGGGCTTGTATAGCAGCGGTTACTCCTTTATATGTTATTACTTATTTTCGTTTGAAATATGGAGATATAACAAAATCAAAATGTCGCCTCAATTTATAAAATATACATGTATGTGTTTATGCGTAAGAAACTGTTTTGTGCCAAATACTGTCAATGGTTTTTGTCAGTGTTAATCTAAAAATGTTTGTGCATTTTATATTACAACAAAATCTCATTAGTACAAGGAAATTTTATTTTCTGGGAGTTATAGAAAGTGACATTTACGTAAATTACTAAATTTATACATGTAAGTTATTAAATTTATTATGTAATTAAATTTATACATGTAAGTTATTAAATTTATACATGTTAACAACTAAATCTACACGTGTAATTTATTTCATTTATAAATTTGAATGACTAAGTGTATTCATGTGAATAATTAAATTTAAATGTAAATTACTTAATTTATAACCGCCTCCGTGGTCGAAGGGTTAGAAACGATGACTTCTTAGTTACCCAGTTACCTCTCTGGCGTGGGCTCGATCCCCGGGAGATGCTTTAGTAGTTTAGCGCGGAGGAAGGTAGTCTAGTACTGGTGTAACTCTCCATGAACGATGGTTAGGAAACTACCCGCCTATAAGACAGAAACACTGTTGGGAAAAGGCGTAAAATGAAAACAAACAAACATACAAACAAACAAAC